GTTAGTTAGTTAGTTAGTTAGTTAGTTAGTTAGTTAGTTAGTTAGTTAGTTAGTTAGTTAGTTAGTTAGTTAGTTTATCTTTGGCTCAGGTTTTTGTTTATTGGTTTATCTCTTAGTCCTGGTTCTTACTCAGGTTTTTGTTTGTTTGTTTGTTCGCTTGTTTGTTTGTTTGTCTCTCAGCCCTGTTTCCGGCTCAGGTTTTAGATCTAAAGGACACAAACACGATGCCATCAGCCGGTTTGATGAGGGTCTTACTTGTTCCTCGGTGGCAGATGATGACTTTCTTGGGCTGCGCGTGCGTGTCGCTGCTGGAGTTTCTGATGGGCAGGTCGGACTGCACGAGCTCGGCCAGGAAGTTGATGTAGCCGATGGCGAGGCGCAGCGTGTCCACCTTGGACAGTCTCTTCTCGTAGGGCAGCGTCGGGATGTGGGAGCGCAGACCCTCGAACGCCTCGTTGATGGACTGCATCCTCCGGCGCTCGCGCACGTTGGCGGCCTGCCGCAGCTGCTGCAGCTCCACCTCGGAGCGGAGCCGCCGGCGCTTCAGAGCCAGACCCGACCGGCCCATGTGAGGGGACAGGTCCGAGGTGCAGCCGTACGAGGAGGAGGAGGAGGAGGAGGAGGAGGAGAAGGACAGGTCGTTGAGGTCCAGGTCTCCCTCCGCTCGGCCTCCTCCGTCTCTGCTGTAATAGTCCTGGAGGTGAGAGGTCAGGAAGTCCATGTCCTCGTCCAGGAAGTCCTTCGTGTCCAAGTGTCCGTCTCTGGAGGACTGGTCCGTGAAGAACTCGTCCTCATCGAAGTACGGAGGGGAGGACAGAGCGTGCAGCGCAGAGAACGGGTCCAGGACCGAGTCCATGTTGGTCTGAGGGGCTCAGGAAACAATCAGCTGCTCGAACCGCCACGCGAGTTTCTTTATAGCGACATTTAGGGTCGCGTGCCGCTCACTGAGAGGGCCAGCCAATCAGAGCTCGGTCCGTGAGGCGCACCGCACAAACCACGCCCCCCTCACAGAGCCGCTCTGGTTTAGCTTCAGCGACTGTGAGCTGAACAGACCCAGCAGGACGGGAAGTCCGTCCTCTGTCTGCCTGTCTCCTGCAGAAAACCCGGTCCGGTCCGGACTACAGGAACACGGCTCGGTTTAGACTGGATCAGGCAGTGATCCGAACCAAACACACACTGGTCCTCCCGCAGATCCGAACCTGCAGCTTGGAGTTCTCACAAACTTCAAAACCGAACCTGAAACGGTTCTGTCACCCGGTGCAGACTTGCTCTGAGGGTTCTCAGGATGAGTCCAGAACCAAAGGTCCAGAACTCGGTCCAGTCTGCCTTTCTTTTTGTTTCTTTACATCTCTGATGTACCCAGACCCCCAGGCTGCAGAAACAAACTGGTTCTGAAACATGTTGGACTCAGTGGTTTTTTTCATAGTTTTTAAAATTGTGTTTTTGTACAAATTAATCTTCATCACCCTGGTACTGAAACATAAAATAAACGAATGAATTGAAAGAGTAAACAAACAAACAAACAAACAAACAAACAAACAAACAAACAAACAAACAAACAAACAAACAAACAAACAAACAAACTGTAAGCG